AGGAGGAGGAGCGGGGAGGAGGAGGAGCGGCAGGGAGGAGGAAGGAGGAGGCGGCGGAGGAGGAGGAGGAGGAGGAGCGCGGAGGAGGAGGAGCGCGGAGGAGACGGCGGAGTGGCCCCTCCCCCGGGCACAGGAGCCGCCGAGGCTGTGAGAGCGCCTCGCGGGCGGCCGCGGCAAACGCCGCCCTCCCGCGCGGGCCTCCGCGCGCGCCGCCGGGGCCCCCGCCGGGCCGTCCCGCGCAGGGGGCGCTGCTCTTTAGGCAGTGGCGAGGCGTCTTGGCTTGCCGATAGCCCCGAATCATCAGGGGTAACTCGGGTCAGGGCTAACTCGGGTTCGTTTTTTCGGGAACCCGAACCCGAGTTGCCCCGGGCCCGAGTTACCCCGGATAACTCGGGCGTCCAGAGCCCCACATCAGCAGGGGTAACTCGGGTCAGGGTTAACTCGGGTTCGTGTTTCGGGAATCCGAACCCGAGTTGCCCCGGGCCCGAGTTGCCCCGGATAACTCGGGCGTCCAGAGCCCCACATCATCAGGGGTAACTCGGGTCAGGGCTAATTCGGGTTCCTTTGTTTCGGGAATCCAAGCCCGAGTTACCCCGGACCCGAGTTACCCCGGATAACTCGGGCGCCCAATATAGGCCCACGAAAGAGTATTCTAAGAACCTTTGGTGGTCTGCAGCACATGTTCTAAGAACATGTCTGGCTGAGACTGCCTTGTTTTGACCCCTCTGGCTTATGTTATAAGAATTTTGTTTGTGTTGGAACATATGTGGGTCCTAAGAAAATTTCGTGGTAGACCTATAGGACTGCCAGGACGGTCGGTCCCTGCTCAAGCTTGGGGGCAACGTTCGTGGGGGGATGCTCTTTCATCAGGTGCCGACCATCCCGGCATTCCCATAGTCCAGGCCTCCTGGATGGGGTCCGAGCAGATGGGGTCGGAGGATCGCGCCGCATCGGCGATGCGGCTCGATATGGGGCCCCATGTTCTCACGACGATGTCGCGGATGCATCGCCGACGTCGCCGATGCATCGCCGATACATCGGCGATGCGACGAGATCATCCGACCCCATCTATTCGGTCCTAATCTAGGAGGCCTCTATGTAGGCATACCATGGCATGTTCCCAGACCCCACAGATGGCTCCAATAATAATAGTAATGTGTTCGGGACATAGACCCGATGTGTTATAGCAAGACAGTATCAGCCAGACACGTTCAATGAATACTTCGTGCAGACCACAAAGATTATTAGGACATTCTTTGGTGAGCCTATAGGCAAGCCAGAACGTTTCGCCACTGCTCGAGTTGGGTAGCAAATCATGGGAACACTGTGTCCTCGCAATGATGTCTTCAGAGTGCACGAGCTTGGATGAGCTTCTGGTAGTCGAGGATCGCGCCACTCTGGAGTCGAATAGTTCCGATCGTCTGGTATTTCGCGTCGACCAGCGTCGATCAGCGCCGATGAGCGTCGACTAGCGCCGACTAGCGCCGACTAGCGCCGCCGATTCGCAAGAGCCAACACGATGGTGTGGGGGCGCTCGCATGCGTTGCCACCGAAGGTTTTCGGGCGTGTCTTTGCTGCTTCCGGCGGCCTTCAGGCCTTGGGAGACCTTGCGGCAGCCCATATGGCCCGCCCCGCCCAGGGCCGTACGGCTTCGCAGTCGGGGGCCAGTCGCCGACCGAGGCAACGCCGAGGCAGGCTCGGTGGTTCCCTCCCTGATCTCGAGAAAGAGCAAAAACGCCATGAACATACACTGTTGGCGCTCCGCGCGGGTTTCTCGGATCCGCGCTGGGCCCCCCTTGGCGGCGCCTCCGGCGCCGCCGCTGGCGCGCTCCGCGCGCCATGGAGGGGCGCCCGGCGCAGATCATGCTTGCGGCGTTGTTTCTTCTAATCATTCTTGCGAGGACCTCCCAGGAGTTGCTTCCAGTACTCCTTGTGGCCCTTCTTGCAGACACACCCTGGCGCCGTGAACAAAAGAGCTCCCGAGGGTTTTTACCTAACAGCGAAGACTGATAGGTTTCTAGTGGGGTCAAAAGAGAGCAGCAGATGACTCCACAGGGGGGTCTGGGCGGGTGCCGGACAGGGTGCCGCAGAAGTCGTTTTAAGCCAACAGTTACACACTTCGTGCTCTTCGACCTCCAGAACTCCACTCCCGGGCCACATTCTGAATGCCCGGAGCCAACTGTAGGCCACTTCGTGCTCTTCGACTTCCCAGAACTCCATTCCCGGGCCACATTTTGAATGCCCGGAGCCAACTGTAGGCCACTTCGTGGTCTTCGAGTCCCCAGAACTCCATTCCCGGGCCACATTTTGAATGCCCGGAGCCAACTGTAGGCCACTTCGTGCTCTTCGACTTCCCAGAACTCCATTCCCGGGGCACATTTTGAATGCCCGGAGCCAACTGTAGGCCACTTCGTGGTCTTCGAGTCCCCAGAACTCCATTCCCGGGCCACATTTTGAATGCCCGGAGCCAACTGTAGGCCACTTCGTGCTCTTCGAGTTC